TGATAGAATGGGGAGTTCATGGCCTGTGTAAAGTTGCATACGCTTTTATTGGTTGAAAAAAAAAATTATGAATATATTCCATCCTCTAACATGGCATAGAAAAAGAACTAACCTTTAGAGATTGTGTTGATTGCTAATATTTTGTCTTATGCAAGTCTGACCTATGAAGTTAGAGGATTTAATTTAATTAAACAGGGTGTATGTACGATGTATTGAATTCTGGGATTGATTTCAAACAAAATTGCAGGAATGTCTAGAAGGTGGTATACTCAAGAGGTGACACCGCTCCATAAAATTAGTATTTAGTAGAATAAAATCCTAATACAGGTAAAAATACAGCAACTGTGTGAATGATGATATTTGGTTGGTGTTTTTTTTTTTACTATCACAGTTCCAAAGAACATTTGAATCTTTAAGAAATGTGTCCAGTAAATCTGACCTACAGAAAACCTACCAGAAGTTTCGAAAAGATCTGGAAAATCTTGATTATTTGGCATACAAACGTCAGCAGGTAAGAACATGGAAGCTTGGTATGAAGTCATAGAATACTGGGTATAAACATGATGGGTGGTAAAACTGATGCATCTGATAGAGTTATTGTTTTATCACTAGGGTTTTATGCTTTGTGTAATGTCATCAGGTAAGCCAGTAGTAGGGGTGACAATCCTATTTAATGCATATGATGTTGGACTGCATGGTTTTTGACTTCTCAACAGAACGAAAGATAAGTAAAGCAAGTGAGTGAGACTTAGCAGACTATTAAAGTTTTCATTAACACATAACACTTTTTTTATTAATTAAAGGGCATAAAAGTACTGTTTGGATTTTTTGACTTGAAAAATGAACAAAATCCGCATAAGTTAATGGAATCAGATATTGTTTGTGCAGGGAAAGCACTAATTTTTTCTTCTTTAGAAATGAACTTACAAGGCTAGATTGCATAAAACTTAGAAGTGTACGCGGTCTTTGACTTGTGCTTGCAAGATCAAGGTTAAATAGAATCGTTAACATGTGTTTAATGTTGGATGTACTTTACGTCACTTATGCATGGCTTCTGTGAAAATGTCAGCTCTTCTAAACCATTTGTTTGTGCTCTTGGTTAAAAAAAGACTTTGCTTCTTTCAGAGCATACTGATGAAATGCTCTAACATTGCTACGTGGGGGTTTTTTGGTTTATGTTTTTCTGAATTCTGCCACTTGGTGTCAGTGTTGTCAAACACTTCGTTTGCTTGGGGGCAGATCACTTACAGCTGTTTATATCAGTTAATTGATGAGATAGTTAAAAATTAGGAAAGGGCTCAGGGACAGATGGTATCTGAACACATGAATATTTGATTCTTGAGATAGGGAGGTCAGGGAGCAGTTGGCTTGGTTGAGTTTCAGTGTGGTGGGAGCTGTTACTCTGGTAGCATTGTAGCATAGTTCCTTGAACCCTTTGACATGGCACTGCCAGCAACCAAAAGACAAAGTTTTAACTGACAACTAATGTGGGTTTATGTTATCTGATCTCATAATAATGTCAAACATAATGTCACATCTGCAAGGGCTTGGAGAGGGTCTCTGAGCCAGGGAAGTGCAAATGCTATAATTATTTCTCAGGCTGTCATCACACTTTTATTGGGAGTAGCTTTCTCTAGTCTGAATTCTCACTCTCAACTTTACAAAATTCCTTGTTATTTTGAGTGATATATGTCTGGTTCTCTAGCAGACTCTGAATATGCTTCAGTAGCATACTTCATTTCACTTTGAGCAGGGCATCTTTTCTCCTGTTTTCAGATCTTCACTACCCTTCCCATCTCAATACTTCACACTTTCAAGCCATTTGGAGAATCTCAAAATCCTTGTTTGATATCAGGCATACATATACCTCCCCATGCTGTTTCTGCTCTATTTTTAACTGTGTTGGCAGAAGCTTTTGCATTTGGAGGTAGTAAAGGTGTATTAAGTGTAAAATCACTTCCTGCTTTCAGTCACAGAATAGAAGATAGGCTGTTCTATCTTCTCTTCTGTGATTGAATCTTTGTAAAGTGTTATACAATGCTATTAAGAAAATAAACTAGGCAAAGGCTGAAATTATTAAAAAAACCCCAACAACCCCCAAAGCAAAAACAAGTGAGGGAGACTAGAGAAGTTCTCTGTGTCTTAGTTAATTTGCACTGTATACCTAATCAGTAGTTTTATAGTTCTCTTGAGTACTATTTTACCTGGTTTTGGTACTGAGACTCATCTCAATACAACTTGCTTGGAGAATCTGCAGTAAGGAATTTGAAAAGCTGCCATCTCTATTTATTATAGAAGATGCTTTAAATTGTATCTTATTTTGGAAAGAAAGTGATCTGTCTGTGAAAAGATTAAGATTTGGTTTGATTACTGTGCAAAAAGCATAGACCTGGATTGGGACTGAAGCTGTTATGAGTTTGTGACAGTTGTGTCTGAGTTTGTGGAGCGTGTGCATTTCATTGATAACGACTTACATGCTCTCTTATTAGATTAAGGGTATATTCATAGCCCCACTGGCAAAATGTTGAGTCACTACCATCTGTTTGGAGACAAACAATTGTGTACAATATGTATATGAATCCATTCATGGTAAAGTAAGTGTTTTATGTAGTCAAATTATTGAATATTGCTTTTGAATGAAATACTGTTATCTGCTTCTGTCCTTATTTTTCAGACATGAGACATAAAGTGCAATACAGAAATGTAATTCCTCAGTGTTGAAGTTCACAGGACAGATGGGAAATTAAAACTGTGCTTTTTAAAGGATGTTTAAAATGACCCACTTTGACTCTGATTTATGAATATAGACCAAACTTCTATGAGTGATAGAAGTATACAAGAAGCAAACACATTTGGGATGATGGTTTATATTAAGTTGTTTTTAACTGGCAACTTTTCAGAATGGGGTAGAAGATCTTGAGTTTTCAGATAGCCAGCAGATTACCAACAGAAACGTCTCTTTAAAATGGGCAGTGAGGTCAAGAATTCGGTTCTCGCTTCCTTTATATAAAAATCCCAAAGTTGTTAGCATATGTTGGTCAAACTTCTCAGAGTTTTCATATTCTTATTTTGCAAATAGGCTGAATGTATGTATGAGATGGCATGGAACTGGTCAGGGTGGCTAAATTCTTTGGTGATTACAGAGGAGGAAGATGGGCAGTTCTTGGAGTTCGAGACTTTAATCTGGCAAAGATGAACTGTGTGGTTGACATCTAGTCACGATGCTCTTCGCCATTCTTCTGTGTCCCAAACACAATATGAAATATTGAATCACATTTATATGCCAGGTCTAGTTACTGTTGCTGTCTGTGATGAATTCCCACCATATTCAAGTCTGCTCCCAAATATATTGCTGCATGTCAGAGCTTTCCTTCTTACTGTTGGTTGCTTGCAAAAAAAAAAAGGTTGCAACCCTTGCAAATGTTGATGAACAATGCAGGGGAAGAAATGCACAGGATGTGCTCACACTCAGGTTGTGGTCTCTTGGTTGGCCAAGCTGAGTGCCAGCTGCTGCAGACCCACCCACAGCCCTGGCTTCATGAAACATGGGCTTCATGAAACATGGGCTTCATGTTTCTGTGCCTTTCATTTTTCCTGTACTGGCATTTGTGTGGCCCTGTATAGAGATGCTTCAGTGTGCTAAACTGACTTAAAATTACTTGCTTTTTGGTGATCTCATTATTTTGTTACTCATTTGCTCACTTAGCACTCTCTCCCCTATCCAGATGGATGTCCCTTCATCTGTCTAACTTGCGCTGACCTAATCTTTCTGCGTGTTTCTAGGGTTCAGTTGCATCCACTAGAGAAATTTGTTTGGGTTGAGAATATCAGTTTATAGCCCGTCTGCCATTTTGAAGCCTTCCAGGACATACCTGTCTCCAGGAAATGTAGTTCTTCTTTCTTGACCAGGAGATAGTCTGGCAATTCCTTTGAATTAAAAGAAGCTTTTAATTTCCTTGATACTGACTATCATCTCTGAAATTTTACTCTCAAAAAGAATAGCTCTGGGCCACAATGAGTAGTAAAACTATTCTCTTGCTCTGTGACTTATTGGAATGCTTCCAGTAAGAGTTAAGTAAGCTTTACATTGAGCATTGTTTTGTATCAACCTAAATATTAACACATCAGCAATATGAATATTTACAGGGGAAATGAGATAGGACAAAATGGTAAAGCACTTTGGGATAAGAGGAGACTTAGTGATAGATCCCAGCACTCTTCTTGGGATACTGTAGTAGGTGCACACCCTTTTTTCCTGTATGGGACCTTGTTCCTATTGAAGGGAAGCTGTCCATATATTGTTCAGCTGGAACAATACTGGTTTAAGGCCATTCATTATAATGATCTTGCTGTAAGGTCATTTCAGGAGTGTTGGGCAATAGCTACAATAAAAATGAAATTATAATCAAATTCAGTGGTATTTAGCACCTGTCAAACTGAAAAATTATTTCTGCTGCTGCTGTTCTTAGTGTTAACAGTGCCTTTAGGATGCCTGTAGCAGTGCTGGCTCTAATTCAAAGACACTTAGATTTTGCCTAGAAGTGTCCAGCAATGTGGTAATCTAACAGTTGACAACAGAACTTTAGGATATGAATGCACACAAAAGCAGTATCCTGTTGTAAAATTATGCTAATTTAAGGTTTACTTATTTTAATTTGTGTGACGTCAAGATAATTGTGCGTTAAAGGACTGAATCTATGTGAACCCATTTAGATTATTCCATTTAAAAATCTTTTTAGAATTGCTTCCTGATGATTGCTGTATTTAGAATAATTTAAGAAGTTGTTTTAGAAACTGACGGAATTAAGGGCTGTATCAGAGACGTTTATGGGGTACACAGTAACTTACTTTGCTTAGGAGAAATAATGCTTCCAACAGTTGGAGCAGAGCCCTTAGCCTGTTTTTCTTCAGAGCAGTCCATCATTATCAGTACTGCAGTTGTCTTCGTGATCATACAGGCCAAATTTACGTTTTAAAATTCTTAATTTTGGAATGAAGACTTGTTTCTACAGTCAAATGGTATTTCTCTTTGTTAAAATGGAATAAGTGCACTTTTGTTCTCTACCTTTGATTGTTCGCTTTGCTTTTTAACATGGCATTGTATTGAGCATGAGATTTGTTCACCAAAGTGCTCTACTCCAGAAACTGGAGCCAAGTTTTCAAAAGAGATTATCATCTATCAACTGGCAGGTTTATTGTGTGACAAACACTTTAAAAAGTGTGCTGAAAATTGGAGGGAGTTCAGGGTAGAGGTGAATTATTTGTTGTCAAGAAAACAAGCATTATGATGAAAAACTTGAGGAGCTCAGTTATTGTAGCTTATCTGGAAAACGTTACGGCTTAGAAATATCACAAATAGAGGTACTTAACTAAATCTTTATTCTAGTATACAGAAGTATGACAAGATCCAATGGATGGAAGTCAGAAAAGTTCAAACCAGAAAGAAAATGAATGTTTTTGACAATTAACCACTGAGATGATTTAGTTAAGAGGTGCAGTACATTAATCACT